CAGATTGTTAGTTTTTAATTTGCCAAATGTCCATAAAAATGTGACCTGAGCAATGAGCATACCTGAACCTGACTAACCTGACAGCTAACCTAACCTCAATCATCACACATATTTGCAGCCTACCCAAGACCTGCAATGGCAGTAGCACCCAGTTATAGGTAGGTACCCACCCTAACTCAATCTTACCTGCTAACCTTCAACTTGCCAAAAGTTAGCTCACATTGCCAAGCTGTGTCCAGGGAAACAGTCAACTGAGGAACTGGCTCATTGGGTGGCTGGTGTGAGTCTGTGCATTTAAAGTGTTTCTTCTCTGAAGCTGCTCTGCACTGCTGTATGTCATGTTAGATGCTCAGAAAATGTGGGAAATGATTACTAAGCTACTTTAGTGCTTTGTTAATGCTCGAGACATGAACAAGTACAGATCCTGCAGGGTACAGCTATGAGTTAGGTGCTAGGTGAGTATGTTAAGTGAATGTGCTGTTCCCTGTTTGACTGTAAGTATACAAACAAGCACAGGGTCACAGTTATATTCAATCTCCACATAAACATACAACAAAAACGGCCATATAGCATAACTCCGAACACACCACAGATAACTTAAGCCTTTGAAGGCACAAAAATGTTTTGATTAACAGGACAGGTTTACAATATATCCTCTGTCCTTGGGGGATCTTGCTGCCAAGTTGAGTTATGATGACTGAACTTCAGGATTGATCAACCTTTTCTTAGCCATGCTGCTTATATACGAGAAAGACCAAATGCTTGTTTGTTTTGATTTACAGGACATGTATACAATATATCCTCTGTCCTTGGGGGATCTTGCTGCCAAGTTGAGGTACGATGACTGAGCTTCAGGATTGATCAACCTTTTCTTAGCCACTGCTTATAAACGAGAAAGACCAAATGCTTGTTTGTAAACTGCGTTGAAAATTTAATGATCCTTCAATTCTGACATGAAGGCACAAATGAAATAGTTCCCTCTCCTTTTGGAATACACAAAGCAAAATAGTTAATAAATTTTAGTGGATGGACAAGAGCAATTAGCATAGCTTTCCCTCAAGTTAACTTCTGGCACTGTTGATGAATTACACTGACGCTTATTCGCTTCATATTTTGTAACAAACGCGCTAAAACTGCAATATAACAGCACTATATGCTTCTTGACAAAATGCAATAGTATTAAAAATTTAGCCCTGATGGCATTCATTCTTGGTGGAAACGTAATTACAAAATATTTTGTAGTAACTATTGAATTCCGGCCGAAAACAGTGCACGGTTTAACCCGGCGGCCGCTGGGCCTCCGCGCCACCCGCCGGCCGCTGGGGGGGGGGCATATAGTTGCCCCCCCTTTACTTCTGCGACAATATCGTCGCAACGCGAAGAGATAGAGAAGCGAAACTTTGCACACATCTTCCTGAATACCTAGCCGAGGTTGTGTCCAAATTTGGTGTCGATCCCATTTGAAATGACGTCACAGTGACGTCATAAGTGAAATTATAGATTTGCGACTCTCATATTCCTCACGATACATCGGATATATGGGACCGAATATAAAGGGCCGATTATTGGTCAGAAACTAGATGGAAGTGTAGTTAGATATTTTAGGATGACAGCAGGTGCTGTCTAGTTCATTTACAGTTGAGTTTCATGCTCAGCGTCATCAGAAACGGTCCATATCGGAAAACGACAAAACTTTATGACGTCACTGTGACGTCATCTTAGGTGCTACAACCACCAAATTTTCCTCAAACATTGCCTAGGTATTCATTTGAAGCTATGCCAAGTTTCACGCTCGTAGCTCATCAGGTTTCGGAGATATTTCACAAAACGTAAAGGGGGGGGCAACTTTATGCCCCCCCCCCCAGCGGCTCGTGGGTTAAAAAAGAATCATTCCAATGACGGTCCATTCTTGCGGTCCTGAAATCGCCACTATTCCCGGCCTCTCCAACGCAACTCGTTGTCCAGACGTAAATATGCCTTACGGGCCTTACACATGCCAAAAAATTAACAAAATATCTCTAGAACTGCATGCCTTTCCTTTAGCATGCCTTTTCTTACGATTCATGAAAGTGTTTTTGATTGGTCGAAGCTGACCTATGTTGTGACGCCACAGGTCATCATCCACTCAGTTGACTATCCACATGCCAGATCTATCATATACATCATATCCAGACTCATTTTGGAAACTTAGATTTCATTTCGACCGACTTCTCGTTCGACTGATTTGACCTTGTCGCCGCGATGTCCTCTGGTTTCGTTTACATACGCCAATGACATTTAACACGCGCAGTGGAAGGGTTGCGAGTACTACGCCCAGTGGAAGGGGGGGGGGGCGGATGTCGCCCCCCCCCCTAAGATCTCAGCTCCCACTGGAGCTAGAAAAACGAAATTTGGAGGGTAGGTGGGGGCCATGGGGAACTCTGTTGTGTGTGAATTTCATGACCCTAGGTCAATATCTTCAAGGTCAAATGAGGTCAAATGTGGTCAAATCTGCCATATTTGCGTCTTTTTTGCGTTTACACGCCGATAACTCAAAAAGTTACCGGCCGATTTTCTTTTTTCTTTCACTATACGAAAGACCAAACATTTGTGAGTATGTATGGTGAATTTCTACTTAATCCAACAATAAATATGGCAGTTAGAAGCCTGGTAAGGGTAAGATGTCGCCGGCTGAAGCGGGATCGGCCGACGCGGGAAACGCGGCATTCACAATTTTGTGTTTACACACTCATAACTCAAGTTGTTACCGGCCGATTTTCAAAATTCTTTAACCATATGATTGCCTGTACATTTCTCAGTCTTCTCACCAAATTTGAAGCGAATCTAATCTAATCAGCGGTAAGGAGCGCGATGTAAAGACGGAACCGTCCCGCCCCGGCACAGTCTACAATTCAGGCGGCGCGTAACGGCTAGCGCCGGCCGCCGCGCCGCCGCGCCGCCGCCGCGGCAGGATGTTTGACTTTACACCGCTATTTCTAGAAAAGTTGTGAACCGATTTTCTTATTTCTGGCACGGTAAGATCCGCAATTCAATTCTGGACAGGTAGCCAAAATTTCATATTAACCCGCGCCCTGGTGTGGGTCTGAGCCACCTTCGCCCTGGTGGGGGGGGGGGGGCCAAAATGACCCCCCCCGTCTAACTCGAAAACGAAGAGGGCTAGGAAGACGCGGAAAAAAGCAAACGAAAGCCCATAACAAGTACGTTCGAAAGTATTTCGGTCATTTTTTCGCTAAGGTCAATATTGAGGTCGCTAGAGGTCATCATAGGTCAAATTTCAGTGTTTTCGGTGTTGCCGGACATATTCCGCTGTAGCTCGGAAACTAGAAGAGCTAGAGAGCCGCGGAAAAAAGCAATCGATAGCTCTTTTCAAGCTCTTTCGCCAAGGTTCGTCAGATTTGACCTCAGCTCAACGGTTTGGCCTACAGAGGTCATGCAAGGTCAACTTGGCAAATTTCGTTGAAAATGTTTTTAACTATAGCATGCATTCACGAGAAAATAGAGAAACGATTCATGCACCATCGTGCTTGGCTCGTCGAGACGCGTCGAATGATATATAGTTTGACCTCGAAAGGTCATTTTGAAAATTTGACCTCAGGTCAAGGTCATGACCTTACCGAAATAGGTCATGCTGCATATCATTCGATCCGCATTGACGAGACAAACACGATAAACGTCGAACGGAGTCTCTATCTCTATTCAATAACAAGTAAGTGCAGAAAAACCGCTGGTGACCTCTGGTGACCAGGGAGATGACCTAGCGTGACCTCAGCAAGGTCACAAGCAAATGGTTTCACATGGGCTGTGATTTGCTGACCCAAGACACTTCAATAACGAAATATAGGAACAATCACGCCCGATTTAGCTGAAAAACAACTACTTTTCGATTCTCCCATTGACTTATAATGGGGAGCAGCGATGACCTGACCTGACCTTAGGTCACATTTATAAAAAATCCGAGATAGCCATTTTGTAGAGCTGGGTGACATCTTCAAGTACTGTAAATTTTACATCGATCGGATAAAAGCTGTGCCTTTGAGAGAGCTTTGAACTTTTTTAGAGGTGGTGTCAGTTTTGGTGACCTTGTGACCTGACCTGACCTGACCCGAACCCCCCAAAAAAGGACATGATGTAAAAATGTTGAATAAACAGCTATACAAAGTTTCAGGGCGCTAACTCAAGTGGTTTCTGAGTTATCGCTGAAAAACCACAGGGGGGGGGCCAAAATGGCCCCCCCCACCAGGGCGAAGGTTAATATTATGTTTGCGGCGCGAGTTATTGGCGAAAAACAGGAGGGGTGGGCGAAATCCGCCCCCCCCCCCCTTCCACTGCGCGTGTTAAAGACATGATGTGGAGATGAATTGTGAATTAAAATGAAATCGGACTTACTCCACAAGAGTTCGTTGGGTCGGAGCTTTCGAATTGTATTACAATTCTTCGTCAGCGAGAGTCGTATCGGATGTTAAGATCGAATCGAAGGTACAGTGCGGATCGAAAAAAATATGGGTCGGACAGGAGGGTCTCTGAGGCAACTACACCTTTTTTCGTCCGAATTCACAAAGATGAAGTCCAAATTCACAAAGCTGAATTCCAAATTCACCAAGCTGAATTCCAAATTCACAAACCTAAATTACGAATTCAAAAGTCAAAAGTCCAAATTCACAAACAAAAAGTTGGAATTCAAAAAGATCGAATTTCAAAAAGCAAAAATGTGATTTCAAATAAGTAACAAGCAATTTCACAAACCAAAAATGCAATTTCAAAAAGATAATGCTGGATTTCAAACGTTGTTTCTTGTTGTTTTCTGATGATATGTTACCTAGCTCTTTTAACATATACCTACAATTTAAAATGACAAAATATTTTGTTTTTTTCGGATGTAAAAATAATGTTCCTATATCTTCAGAATTTGTCGGTTTTAGCTTATAGTGGATACCTAATAACGTGATAATGAGCAGAGTGGCCATCTGCAGGCACTGATCTCGTTGAAATAAATGCAAGGCAACGGACGGACAGTTTTATTTGCGACTTAGACAAAAACAACGCAAAGCTGCTTGTCTGACAACGCCGTAGGGCACGTTTGGAACTAAGCCACTACAAATCAGTAACATATCTTGAACCTCCATCACTCTCACACGCCCATCGCCAGGTCGGCCAGGGCCACGCACCCGGCATAGTGGCGCTGGACGTGATTGTAGAAGTTCATGCACATCACCGGGTTGATGCACTCCATGGCGGCGTCCATCTTGGCCTCCAGGTAGCGCAGCCGGTGCTCCTGCTGGGTGATGCCGTCAGTCGTGTCCATCATGGCGCTGAATGATGACGCCATGCCCCGCTTCATGTTCGCCTTCACTGCAGACCAGACAGCCTCAATCGGGTTCAACGGCGCGCTGTATGGCGCTGTCCGTACCAGCTCCAGACCAGGGAACTCGGCTGCAACTGCCTCCAGGTCACAGTGTACCGGCGCGTTGTCACAGACGATCGTCACCTGGTCGAGCGGCAGAGGGCAGGCCTGCAGGGCACGTCGCAGCCAGTCAGAGCAGTCCGTCTTCCGAAAGGACCCTCGTCGGCGCTCCCAGTAGATGATGCCGGTCTGCGACATCAGCCCGATGATATGGACGTTGGGGCCCTTACTGGTGGCGGCCTTCACCGAACATCGCAGGCCGCGGCGGGATCGGCCCTGAGAACGCCGCAAAAACAGGTTCGCGTTCGTTTCATCCATGTAGAGCACCGATCTCCCACTCCCCGTCGCCGCCATCATCTTTCGCACGTACTCGGCCCTCTTCTGCTTATTTGCGGCGTTGTTCATGGCCACTGGCTCGGCCACGACCTTCTTCATAGTAAACAGCTGGCCGTGCAGGTGGCGGTGGATGGTCGGGACGGATATGGTGACACCGGTGTCCTGGCGCAAATTGCGACCGATCTCCACGAGAGATATCAATGGATTCTCCTCGACGTAAGTGACCATCTTGTCGACCATCCCCTGGGTAACTTTCTTCTTTGTGGCACCGCCACGGGGACGCGGCAGCTGTCCTTCGGGCCTCGTAATGTACCCGTAGGCAGTGCGGACCGGAATTCCATTCGCTGTCGCAGCCGCCTTCCAGTCTCCACCTTCATTGAACACGGCCACGACCCGCTCTTGGGCATCCCGGGGGATCCGCTTGTACGGCCCACGCCTGGTGCCCGGCGGAGGGCCGCGCCTGCCTCGCGGCTGTGGTGGGCCGTCACCGCCACCGGCAGGTCCAGCTTCGTCAGGAGCTCCGTCAGGAACTGGATTTTCAACCTCTGTCAATTCTACCTCAACTTGCATATCCCCATCATGGTTAAAAAAATGGTCAACCTCCGTTGAGGACTGAGACATACCTGGCTACAATAAAATAAATCACAGCAAGTTATTGACGTTAACAGAGCAAATGAGGTAAGCATCTGTGAGTTCAACCACGGTATATAGAGAACTAGGTAAAACCGGTTTGCCGCCACAGCACTAAGGTATTTTGACCACTTTCTTCAGCTGGCCATTAAGACCCAAAAACGAAAAATAGGCGACATATTTGGGCCATATTAATTATGCATTTATTAATTTGAAGTGCATTAGCAGAGGGGAGCCGACAAGAAAATCTGTATGCTAATGAAGGAAATAAAATCAAGCCATTCGCACCATTTTTCCAAAGCAATTATTTCAAGTTGGAGCCGTTTGTTGCACAAATCTCTTCTTTTCTGTTTTCAAATATTAAAATTAATAATAAATCCACAAAAATATCTACAAATAGTGCTTTCTAGAATTTCGAGCATATCCATGGATCGTGACCATTCTTGAGTCGAGAAGAGGCAATGTTTCAAGACAAATATAGGGTAAATTATCATGTATTGGTCAATAAATGTGGTATATTCAGGCTCAGAAAAGATTTTTCGATAACATGAGCTACAATTCATCAGAGTATATGCCCTGAATTCTAATATATTACAAGAAGTGTAAATTAGAGCTGCAGTTCTACACGGCTCCCGCAGCACACTTCACACACGATATCTCAAAAACGAAAGAGAGTCGCGGTCTATTTAAAATGTCAAAAAACGCAGAATTCATTTTCATATAAGCATGAGAATTCTTTAAAAGAGAATCATACGGTAAGACATTGAATTTTGCTCCCAAATATAAAACTTTGCATTTGTCTGTCACTCAATTTTGAACAAAATGGACATTTTGTATAGATCTTCCGCTAGTTGCTACCAAAATTATACCCTATCCGACGGGGAAACTATTTTTCTTATTTATCTGTGCATGATTATGAGCATAAATAATCGACAGACCAGAAATTTTGCGTCTAAGGTAAGTCACCATTGCATTTGCAGAAGGTGACGCTTTCACCTTCCCTGGATGATTTCTCAAAAACAAGAGGGAGTCGCGATCTATTTAAAGCTGAAAAATGTACAGAATTGATCATTCTATCGATGGTGAGAATACCAAAGACCAAAGCATACGGTAAGACATCTCATTTTGACCTCAAAGCCATAAAAATGTTTTTTAATGTGAGGTACGTCGAATCGCAATGGCGTAATTTTATGTTCGACGTTCCTGCTAATGATGCATCCGCTTTAATACTTCTGCGTTTGCAGGCGTCATTCGATGTTTGATTGGTCCAGAGCAGCTCAGATTCGGAGCAACAACAGCTTGACAAACATTTTTCGTCTTTGTTGTGCATTGTCATGCATTGTATGGGCTTCGGTAAAAACTGGATTGCGTCAGCTGGCTGGCCAGCTGGCGACGTACGATATGTATTAAATATAGATATAAGTTAGGTAGTAGGATGGACATTAATATTTCAAATGGCTTTAAATGCAAAATTGATAGGTAGATATTTATTCTTTTATATCTAGCATTGATATGTAAGAAGCTCTGCTAGCGCCACCATACGGCGCCAGCTGGCAAATAATCCAGTTAATACCAGAGCCCCATTGTATTGTCATGGATTGAGGTTCTTTCATCCATGGTATTGTAATATATACACTTGGTTTAAATTTAATTTGATTTGATAAATTTGAGCCTATTCTTAGTGATATGGGAGTTGTCTTGCAAGTGCCCACAAGCCCAAATATATATTTTTTCAGTGAAAAGTTACATTATGAAAAAGTGGATGCTGGATGGTTTAAGAAAATGCCTTATGGTCAAAGTCGTGTGTACTGTGTTCCTTACATCAAGCACTCAAAGCATCACCGTGAAGAGACAAGGGTCAAGGAATGAGGTGTTTGTGTGGAAATGTAAGTAATATTTTTTGTGATTTGCTGGCAAAGCTAGACAACATTGATATCCATATCCACGCTAGCAGTGGTTGTCAACATGTGGGTAACAGCGGGTCTGGGTGGGCATCGGGAAGCAGTAAAGACTATCAAAATTGTGTTTTTTAAATGTAAAAAACAAGTTTTACCGGGCATGGGCATGGACGACTACCTACTCTTCGTCCAACGACTACTTGTTATCCATTGCCTGGGACAGGCATTGCCAGCAGCTTTTTTTGTAGGTACGCACAAAGTTGATGTATTGTTGGGTTGGGGTCCATATGCATATACTATTTCTGTTTCATTATCTATCATGCTCGGATAAGTTGATGTCACTTGTGACCAAGGTATTTGGGTATGAGTCAGAGCAGTAGCGGCGGAACGCCTTCGATTAAGGGGGGCACCGCCGACTTTTGGTCCCATTCTTTCCATGCAACACCCATAGGGCTAATGTTAAAATGCCAAAATCAAAGGGGGGCACGGTGCCCTGGTGCCCTCCCCATTCCGCCGCCTATGAGTCAGAGTAGAGCAGACATTATAGAAATGTTTTCCAACCAAGGCGAGGCGCTTTACCCAGAGAGTCTTCTTTTTAAAGGGAGTAGGGACTATCCCACCTTTAACATGGGGTTTGAGTTGAGATAGCCAAGTTTGCGGCGAGGTTCAGAAACCACTATCTATCTAGGTTGCAACCCCCGCGGCCTCTTGGTGTTGAAGAAATTTGTTCCCTTCATTTGAAAATGGGCCTTGTACAAGGCCCTATCTTCAACATAGAGCGACCGTTAGTGTGACGTCACCACGTTTAGTCATTCTGATTTAAATGGGTTTGTCCGTTGAAAAATCGCTTAAAACTTGGTCTGAACTTTGTTGTGGTGCCTACAGAGTAAAAAGAATCAGCTTTATGACAGTAATGTGGCCTGGGGAAGGAAGTAATTTTGGGCTGTGACGTCACATATTTGAAAGTTTGTGTTTGGAATATGGGAAGCCTAAGATGTTTAATGAAAAATAAATGCCAGAACCGTGTTCCTGGTCATCCAATCTATAAATTCGGGCACAATTTAACTGATTTTAACAACATTTTAGAAGGTGGGATAGTCCCTTTAACACCAAACCAAACCTTACCTGACGTAACCTAACCTACAAGTCAACTACAACCTAAAATCATACAACCTACAAACCTACAGCTGTGCCTCTCCTTGGTTGGAAACCCTTCATAGTTCATTTGACATCTGCTCTACTAATGCCGTTAATTTTAATTTGTAACCTAACCAAACCAAGCCTAATATAATCCAAACCTTGCTCATAACTGTGATAAGTTGCAGTACTAACATCACTTTGATTTTCCTCAGCCCTATTACACCATCAAGAGGGAGACCGCACTGACAGGGGTCCAAGATCCATCTCAGGCCCTACTGTAGGTAAGTGTGGACGTCCTGACCTGTAGCCAGAAACACTGCCACTGTAGCACAGCAGCTAATTCCCTATCATCCTTCCAGCTCTGCAATGGTCTGCATTTCTGCAATGGTATCAACAGGCCTGACTGAACACAAAAGCATTTCACTTACTAACATAAGACTAATATTATTCTAAAAATGGTTGTAAAGCAATGTAGAGTGAAATGGATATATGGTGTATATGAATAGAATTGGGTGTGCTGAGACTTGTACTTAATGAACTTGAACAATGAACACTAGAGTAACTAATTCAACTATTTGTTGTTATTCAGACTGCCCGCCAGCAGACGGAGGCCCACCGACGGACGTCGGCTCATAGGCCAACAGTGGCCCGCCGGCCGGCTGACGGTGGCTCGCCGACCGACGCCGGCCCGTCGGCCGACCACGGCCCACCAGTTGATGGTGGCCCGCCAGCTGACGGAGGTTCGCCGGCCATTCGTAGCACGCCCGCCGACGGCAGCTCGACGCACATCCTGGCCTTAACTATGGCTATGTCACCCTCAAGATTAGTTCGCCCCCCCCCCCCCCCAAGTCCCTAGGTGAGTGGCTGGAGAGTGGAGAGAACTTTGTGTGTTGCCGGGAGGGGATGTCTGCTAATGCAGGTGCCGTTGCAGGGGTCGTGACGTTAATACATTAACGCATAAACAGGTTAATGTATTGCAATTATGGCAAAGTGTGCGACAGGAAACGCTATGAGCTATGAGTTATCGTCGCCGTGGCGGAAATGTGAGGACCGTCGCAACCTGTGACGTCGCCGTGACTGCTAATTGATGGTCGCCTTGACTCGTGTGTAACGGTCACTGTGCACGGTATGTGACGGCCGCCATGACTGTTTATATAACGGCCGCCGTGACTGTTAATATAACGGCCGTCGCGACTGAAATGTGACGGTCGTCGTGAGATCTGACGTGTCGCGACTCGCTGTGTCACAGGTCACCAGTTGCGGGCGCTCCATCTGACGGTGTCGTCCGACGGCTCCACGGTGACCAGCGCCGCCACTGCGGAAACCATCGGACCCCGAAAATGCTGCTAGCCGTACACGAACAAAAGGCGCCATGCACCCAGGACCAGCGCCCTGCTCCGAGGCGGTATCCAAAGAAGGCCGCATAGTGCACTTGCTGTGCTAAGGCATAGTGCGCGCTGACTGATAGGAACAAATGACGGTCAGTTATCAGATCTCAGTATGGAACTCAAGATGGTCGGAGCCGACCTGGCCCGGTGGATGGTGTGCCAGGCCTTTAAGTGTCGAAAGGAGTGAGACGCCCAGATATGTGAAGGATACGTCGATACGAGCCCCGGCTTCGACTCCCCGTCCCAAAACAATGTTGGCTGTGATTGGAGTTTGGTATCTATACGGATTCCCCCCCCCCCCACCCCCACCCCCCCACCCCACCCCGGAATTTGTGCTATGTAATAGGACGATAATATGTCGTGGTCTCATTTATGCTCGATATGGTAATAGGTACTTAATTGGACAGATGTTGATGGTATTGGTGGTGGATGTAAATGACAGGTTTGGCGAGCGCGAATTAGTAATCGTGAGTGCACTAGCTGCAATCAGTCGCGCGCTTATTGCTGAGCACCTGTGAGCAAGAAAATGGTATGAAAGTGGTAGTTCGTCGTGAAATCTGTGTACTTTTGGATTAAGTTTTCAGAACAGAAGTGTATTTTTGCCGTGTCCACTGCAGCTCTGGAACAGAAACATAGAGATCGGCTGTGTGCTGTAGCAGGGGCAAGTAGTCCGTGCCAAAAAATCAAAGGTGATATGTGAATTTAAGTGAATATGCCTCGCTTTATTTTCAATTTTATTATAACAGAACCAATGCGTCTACTGCTGATTACCCTCGGCTCCTAACAATAACGTTTGCAATACTGGAAAGTACATAGACAATAGATACCCTTGCGACCGACTGGCGCGATCCGAGAATATCTCTCACGACTCACTGTTTTTGCTGACCTACACACGAAAACACGGCCGAATAGCTATGAGCGAGAGCACGGAACGATGCTGGTGACTGACGGACCAGCGAAAATAGAGCTCCCGTCTACGCGCGGAACAGCGCTGATTGGCGCGGCTCACAGACTCCATTGGCTCATCAGAGTTCAGACTGTTGACGATTGTTGCTCCTCCCTCCCCTCCCCGAGAGGGCGTAGCCAAGTAGCTTAGTTGTGTGCGCAGCTGGCGGCCACCGTCCAGTCGTCTCTTTGCATCTGTGAAACCGTTGAGTGGATGGTATCCAGACGAGCAAGGCGTCGGCGTCGCCCATCCAGCGGTCGGGCACGGGGCAGCGCAGGTGGACGGCCGCGGATGGTCCGCCACCGATCTCGGCACACTCTGCAGAGTGTGGCCGGACGCTCCACGGACACGGAGTTGCATAGCGTCGATAGGCCGTATGGTGTCGCTGTCGTAATTATGAAAGCGTAAGTAGAAGGTTGAAGCAAGATAGAATGCTATCGTTTTCGAGCTTTGTTACACATAATTAGTACCTAGGTATTGGCCGTTTCTTTACAAATAATATCGCAAAGCACAGCTTTATGTGCTGGTAACGATATGTGCGCGTTGGTTGCGGCGGTAATCGTCGAATAAATATATAATTTATGAACGTTTCTTGATCATTCAATGATAAACATGGCAATGTTTGCCTGTTGTGAAGAAGACTCCTATACTGCCGCTCTATCGTCCGAAATTATTCGTGTCTGATAACGGCGATTCCGCCACTCTATCAGCTGATTTTTGTTTCCGAGTCACGTGACCAACCGGTGTCTCCCTGAGTTCAACGTTCAGAATGATTCATGTGGATTCATAAACAATTGTTGTAAAAAATCACGTGTTCCATGTGCTATTTTTGTTAAATGAGTTCCTCCAAATAGGAATATTACATAATATTAGCAGATGTATTCCTCATGCGGAAATTTATGTACCTTTTCTTATAAGCACCTCTTATAAAAATATAAAATTCAGGTGCAGCAGCTTTGTCTGTAGTTAGTTCAGAATATCTTTTGAAATCAAACATTATCTTTTTGAAATTGCATTTTTGTTTTGTGAAATTGCTTGTTACTTATTTGAAATCACATTTTTGCTTTTTGAAATTCGATCTTATCTTTTTGAATTCCAACTTTTTGTTTGTGAATTTGGACTTTCGACTTTTGAATTCGTAATTTAGGTTTGTGAATTTGGACTTCAGCTTTGTGAATTTGGAATTCAGCTTTGTGAATTTGGACTTCATCTTTGTGAATTCGGACGAAAAAAGGTGTAGTAAAATATCTAATACAAAAATATAGGCAGGTAGGTAAAATACAGTTAATGACATGTACAAAATTGCATAGATTAGGTGCAAACAGTACCTAAAGCAGAGATAAAGCTTTACAAAAACACGAATAGTAAACTAGACTAAGATATAAAATATCAAAATGATAAATTCTATAAATGAACTTTTTAACGGCAGAAACGGCGAATAATGGGAAGCCACCTGTCTTGCAGCAGGGCACCAGAGTTGCAGTTCACATTCGCGTCATTGGGTGACACTAGGACGGCTTCCCGCCGTCCCACGGTACGAATGTAGGCCGATTCGAGAAGGAGTCTCATCTGGTGGTGGCAGGCACGGTTCAGGATTTTGGCGTCGTCGAAGGCCGGCGTGCAGTCCCGGTGCGTGCTGAACGCTGAAGCGTAGGCTCTGGAGCGGACCGAGCCAGCCCAGCTCTCTCGGTGCTCGCGGACTCTGGTTCCAAGTTCTCGGTCCGTTTCTCCGATGTAGACGACCGGGTCACCTTCTACCCGGCAGGAGCACTCGATGCAGTAGATGACATTGCTCTCCTGCTGCTTGGGTAGACGGTGCTTGGCTTGGCTACAGAGGAGGGTCCCGATGGTCTGCGACGGCTTCGACACGAGCTGAATGCCGATCTTGTTGGCTTCTCGCTTCAGTTGGTAGAAGCAGGGACCAGCGAACGGAACCGAGAGCCGGACGGGTGCAGGCAGCGGGCTGGGGTTCGGTGGCGACGGCAGAGCCCTGGCCTTCAGCTGGAGGTCCTTTTCTGTTCTTCTCTCTGTTTAGGTACTGTTCTGTTCTTTATCTCTGCTTTAGGTACTGTTTGCACCTAATCTATGCAATTTTGTACATGTCATTAACTGTATTTTTACCTACCTGCCTATATTTTTGCATTAGATATTTTACTAGTGTGTTTTATACCCATTTTACAGGCTTTTTCTAGTAAGTGTGCATCCTGTTATTATTCACGTGTTTTCCCAGTGTTTGTATGTTTATTTCAAGACCAACTGGTTGCCTCAGAGACCCTCCTGTCCGACCCATATTTTGTTCGATCCGCACTGTACCTTCGATTCGATCTTAACATCCGATACGACTCTCGCTGACGAAGAATTGTAATACAATTCGAAAGCTCCGACCCAACGAACTCTTGTGGAGTAAGTCCGATTTCATTTTAATTACGCCAATGACACTTAGCCCGCGCCCCACTGGGGGGGGGGGGCTATTTATAGCCCCCCTCCCGTTTTTCTGCAATAACTTCCAAACCGCTTGACGTATCAACGCTAAACTTTCAGTACCTTAGGCTGCATCAATTTGACACCTTGTGTCAAAATTTTAACTTCGTACCTACTATAGGTCGGCCGGAAATGACGTCAGAGTGACGTCATGTTCGGCCGATTTCGACGCAAAACATTGAACCACGGCAGTCGCTCCCAAGAGCTCAGTTTTTTGGCTAGATCCAATTTCTTTGAATGAGAGGACTCAGAATAGACTGCGCTATCAAACTGCTATCTCGGATTTTCGAAATTTTGAAAATTTTGAAAATTTGATATAATAATATCTAAAATTTATATTTTTACATTTTTTCAAAAAGTTTTTGACTTTTCGAAAAAACCGGAATATATGTCATAGAACGCATTATTATGACTATAGTCCGTTTTTCTTAAGTTTGCCCCTCACTGTAAACGTCTCTTTGAACACAGCACGAGAATTGCTAGCTGAATTACTGAGAAAACTGGTTAGCGCACATTGTATTGTAGATATGAATAATATTTTCAAAAATAAGTTTTGAACATTGACGATTTAACGTTATGTTAAGCGCCGTGCAATTTATTTATTAGTTCAGACATAATTCCTGAGAAGTCGTCTTTCCCTGTGGGGCTGTAGGTATTGGCAGATACGATTTACGAGTCTGTGAAATAGTAAATAAATTTGATGAAATTGATCGTCTGTGAAATCTGGTTAAATCAGTGTGCGCCAACCAGTTTTCTCAGTAATTCAGCTAGCAATTCTCGTGCTATGTTCAAAAAGACGTTTACAGTGAGGGGCAAACTTAAAAAAAAACGAACTATAACTCTAGCAAGTTTTAGCTAAATATCTTCAAAAATGGCCAAGTTTTAAGCATTATTGCAAAAAAATCTCAATTATTTATTATTCAGATCAATTTTTCAGCACGTACTTGACATCGTACGCCAATATAAATAGCACCATCGTGTTCCTGAGCTCAAACTGCATCCAATAGACACCTTTTTTATTGAAAAATTTTAACTTTAAAATTTGACCTTTTTTGACCTGAAAATGACCTAACATAAGCTAAATTCGACTCAAAATGACCTCGAATGACACAGACGACATCAAATTCGAAATCTCTGACCTAAATGGACCATAAAACATGTGTCACGTGACCGACGCATGATATAATATTTTCGTGACCTGTGATGACCTGACCTTGACCTGAAAATCAAAGTACAAGTTTGGTACCCTCAGGGTAACTAGAGCATCTGTCCCCGAGTGTGTGATCCAAAAATGAGCCTGATCTGACTTGTTAGACGGCGGCCAGAGCCCAAAACGTGAATAAGCCAAAATGCTAATAATTTTTACTTTGACCTGACCTGTGACGTCATCGGTGACCTTGAGGTCAATGAAATTAGGTTTCGTTCGACAGTTTTTCCGGGGCTATCAGACGCCGTTTGAATTTTGACGATCGGCCCAGTAGTTTCAGAGTTAGGAGGGGGGGGGGGCTATGAATAGCCCCCCCCCCCCCAGTAGGGCGTGTTATACGCAGACCCCAGTGGGGCGCGGGTTAAGTGTTTGGGCAGCAGGGGCGGATCCAGGGGGGGGGGCATCTGGGGGCCGATGCCCCTAGCCTATCGAAAAATGCCGCCCCTCCGCCGCCTTCGGCGGCGGAGGGCGGCTTTTTTCCATACGTGATGAAGTGCATTTTACGGAAATGACCCGCATTTCTTTGAAGCTCATTTCATAATAATCTCTGGTAGTAACTATATGAATTTATATTTAACCCTCAGAGTATGTCGCTTCTCTCCCTGAAGTCAGAGTGCCGCCCCTTAATTCGAAGTACCGCTACTTAAAGTCATATTGCTACCCTTTGAAGTAGTAGTGCCGCTCTCGGAAGTCGAAATGCCGCCCTCGGAAGTCGTAGTGCCGCCCTCTGTACTCGTAGTGCCGCCCTCTGAAGTCATAGTGCCGCCCTCTGAAGTCATAGTGCCGCCCTCCGCAGTCTTCGTGAAGCTCCTTGAAGTCATTGCGCCGCCCTCTGAAGTCATAGCGCCGCTCTCTGAAGTCATAGTGCCACCCTCTGAAGTCATAGCGCCGCCCTCTGAAGTCATAGTGCCGCCCTCTGAAGTCATAGTGCCGCCCTCTGAAGCATAGTGCTGCCCTCTGAAGTCATAGTGCCGCCCTCTGAAGTCATAGTGCCGCCCTCCGCAGTCTTCGTAAAGCTCCTTGAAGTCATTGCGTCACCCTCTGAAGTCATAGCGCCGCCCTCTGAAGTCATAGTGCCGCCCTCTGAAGTCATAGCGCCGCCCTCCAGTCTTCGTGAAGGTCCTTGAAGTCATTGCGCCGCCCTCTGAAGTCATAACGCCGCCCTCTGAAGTCATAGTGCCGCCCTCTGAAGTCAAAGTGCCGCCTCTGAAGTCATAGTGCCGCCCTCCGGTTGTCCCGAAGTGACGAGATATTTCCCGCCCAGTCGGAGTAAATAAGGCGCTTCAAATATTATCCGGCATAAAATTAGTTGTTGAACCCGGTGCCTGACAAATTTGCTGTTTCACTTTCTCATTTTGGCGCCAGTGTTTACACGGCCAATAGCCATTCGTCTAATACCTATAGTAGGGCAGGTCATCAAGTGGCGTATTAATATGTTGGAAAGGGGAGGAGGCCAAACATGGGAATTAAGAAGGGGTCCTATCTTAACTTTAGGGGCCCCAGTGGTAACCTACTTTACCCGAGATCGGGTGCGGTTTCTAGCCAACTTTGCCAATTTTTCCCCTCGCATCCGGGCGCATAGCTCGTGAACCGTAAGTGTTACAGCGTCACGGAACAATGCATTTGATAGATCCTTGGAAGCTTCCACTGCGTTGTCCTTAGATTCGAGCTCAGTTCGACAATTTGGCCCACACTGAGAGCAAAAACTGCCAAAATAGACGGATCTTGCAGAAGCATTTGTTCCATTTCTTTACGTACTATACATATATCTACTCACTCCACGTATGGTAGGGGAAGTTGGGGCAATGCCGGAGTTGGGGCAAAGCCGAAATTCGAGATATTTCGAAAACCGTAAGACATGGATGCCACCTGTCAGTGATGCTCTGAAGCTTAAGTGACTACAATTATCGCATGTTTGTTACGAGTCGTCATTCGGAATACTTCGACTGTGAGGGCGCCAAGAGCGTTTTCAAGGTACGTTTCCCTTGTACTACATGCGCCTTTGAAGCTGCATTTCTTACTCATTGTGCTACCGTTTGTCTGGCCAATTCGGTCAAGTAATCTTTAGCATGTCTTTGCATAAGTGTGCTGCCTATTTGAAATTTATACAGCACGTTGAAAAGTTATGGGCCTGCAAATGAAAGTATGGCAGGTTGGGGTAATGCCGAAAACGTGCGATTACGCACGTGTTAAAAGCACGCTACGTGGACTTTACTGCTGTAGAATAGCAACGCGTATTTTTAGTCACACAAATTACACTTTCAACCGACACAACGGCCTGTTACCTATAAGGAATGATTTACCTGGCATGTTCTTATTATATCACACAATTATAACTTCCAGTGTGCACCGCGTCCTCAAGCTCTTAAAACGCGTGTCAGCTTTGATGAATTCTGGATAAAGTTTGAGATAAAATGGCAAAACATCAATGTCGGCATTCCCCGTAGATCATTTCTCCCATTTTCGGCTTTCCCCGCAGTCCGGGGCAACGCCGAAAAAGTCACTTCTTTGATATTTTTAGTTTGTGCGCTTAACG